GGGATGGACACTGGGAAGAGGTAACTATGGGGAGGAAATGGGAGGGAAGCTGTTGCATTGTGGTAAACTGTGGTCAATGTCATGAGACAAAGTATATGTAAACTGCTATATGGAAAGTGAATTTGCTCTGTAAATCTTCACCCAAATCACAATAAAAAGAAAAGAAAAGAAATCAGACAGCGTACCACACTGGGCAAATCTGCTGCAAAAGACCTCTTTAAAGTGTTGAAGAGCAAAGAAATCACTTTCAAGACTAACATGCACTGAACACAAGCCATGTATTTACAATAGCCTCACATGCATGTGAAAGCTGGACAAGGAATAAGGAAGATCAAAGAACTGATGCCTCTGAATTGTGGTGTTGGTGAAGAATACTGAAATTACCATGCAATGCCAGAAGAATGAACAAATCTGTCCTGAAAGAAGTACAGCCAGAATGCTCCTTCAAAGCAAGAATGGCCAGACTTTGTCTTACCTACTGTGGTCGTGGTATCAAAAGGGACCAGTCCCTGGAGAACATGCTTGGTAAATCAGAGGGTCAGAGAAAAAGGGGAAGACCCTCAACAAGATGAACTGACACAATGGCTGCAACAATAGGCTCAGGCATAGCAAGGATTGAGGATGGTGCAGGATAGGGCAGTATATTGTTCTGTTTTACACAGGGTCTCTATGAGATTCAACTGAATCTCAGTTCAGTCGGAATCAACTAAACTATACCTAACAACAAAAGAATGTAATGCATATAGGAAAAGTAAATAGTGTTCTAAGAATCTTCTGTTTCTTTTACATACACATACACACTCATATATGCATATTCTGAATCTAATGTAAAATGTATTTGTTGCTGCAGGCTATGGTCCAAAAAGTTTGAAAGCCATGGTCTGAGGGTACTCTGAATACAGAGCCCTACATGGGGGAAGGGAAAAAAAAAGGGAACAGGACAAGATGGTAAAATAAGGGATACAGACCTGCAGCTTATCTTGAAGCGTACCTACTACAGTGCAAGAGCCTGGTTCAAGTCTCAGCTTACCTTTAAAATAGAGCTAAGATACCTCTGGCTTGCTTATCTTACAAGACAGCTATGAGGATTAAATAAAGTAAAGATATAACATCACTCTGCCCAGCCACTCAACCAGGCCCAGCCAAGCTGACATACAAACTTAACTATTACACCAAGCATTGTATAAAGATGACAGCCATTTTCACTATTGTTATTTTATATACATATCCAGAGTGATAAAAAAACAAGCATGCCATGGACACCAAAATATCACCAAATCACAGTTATCCCATTGTGTAGTAAGGGGAGCCAAAGATTAGAAGCTGTGAGGAATTACTAGGAAATTGTATCTTTAGAGAAAGGTAGCTGGGAAAATCGAACAAATGATGAAACTATCCAATTGGACAGAAGAGTCCCTCAGTGGTATAAACGGTTAAGCACTGGACTTGTCAAGTGCCATGAGTTGGCTCTGACTCATAGTGACCCTATGTACAACAGAATGAAACACTGTCCAGTCCTGCATGAGTCTCACAATCCTTGCTATACTTAAGCCCATCATTGCAGCCACTGTGTCAATCCATGTTGTTGAGGGCCTTCCTCTTTTTCATTGACCCTCCACTTTACCAAGCATGATATCCTTCTCCAGGGAATGGTCCCTTCTGACAACATGACCAAAGTAGGTAAGATGAAGTCTGGTCATTCTTGCTTCCAAGGAGCATTCTGAGTGTACTTCTTCCAGGACAGATTTGTTAGTTCTTCTGTCAGTCTGTGGTACTTTGACTATTCCTCACCAACACCACAACTCAAAAGCATCAATTCTTCTTCAGTCTTCCTCATTCATTGTCCAGCTCTCACAAGCATATGAGGCAACGTAAAATACCATGGCTTGTGTTAGGTGCACCACATAGTCTTTAAAGAGATATCTTTGCCCTTCAGCACTGTAAAGAGGTCTTTTGCAGCAGATTTGCCCAGTGCAGTACATTGTCTGATTTCTTGATTGCTGCTTCCATAGGTATTGATTATGGAACCAAGTAATATGAAATACTTGACAACTTCAATCTTTTCTCCATTTGTCATAATGCTGCTTTTAATTGCTCCACTTGTGAGGATTTTAGTTTTCTTTATGTTGAGGTGTAATCCATGCTGCAGACTACAGACTTTAATCTTCATCAGTAAGTGCTTCACGTCATCATTTTCAGCAAGCAAGGTTGTGTCACCTGCATATCACAGTTGTTAATGAGTCTTCCTCCAATCTGATACATGTTCTTCTTCATACAGTCCAGCTTCTTGGATTATTTGCTTAGCATACAGACTGAATAAGTATAGTGAAAGGATACAACCCTGACACACACCCTTCTTGATTTTAACCCATGCAGTATCCCCTAGTTCTGTTTGGATGACAGCCTCCTGGTCCATGTACAGGTTCCTCCTGAGCACAATTAAGTGTTCTAGAATTCCTATTCTTCTCATTGTTACCCATAATTTGTTATGATCCACAAAGCACTGGACTACTTACCAAAATGTTGGTGGCTCAAACCCACCCAGAGGCACCTCAAAAACAGGCAGTTCTACTGAAAGGCAGTTCTACTCTTCACATACTGTGTCACCATGAGTTGGAATCCACTCAACAACAATCAAGAACAACATGTGGACATACACGTCTCAAGTAATATAAATGAGACAATGAGAACAAAGAAAACTCAAAGCGAAAAAAAAAAAAAATATATATATATATCACTGGTTTTGATAGATAAGACTTTCTAAGAGGTAAAATGAATTGTGAAGAAAATGAAGCATGTTTTTCCTTCATATCTTAAATGATTTCTCAAAACCAAAATATGAATCACTTGCTATCCTTTCAGGCCAAATTCAATACCACCTCCTCCAGAAAATTTATGATGCTCCCTCACCCCATCACTATATGAATCTAGCGCTGATTGTTTATACCTCTCATTTGACATGTAACTAACTTTACAAGGTGGTGTAAAACATCACTCAACATAAAGTTAGAAATGAAAGCCTACTGGAAAACAAAAAGTATGTATGTTTTACTTTCCTACATTTTTTTCCATCTAGAACTAAACAGACCTGTCAGTTAAAACTAGTCACCCAGCATGGTGGATCACCCACTTACTTTACCTCTTCTTGGCTACTAATCAACAGAAACTCATTAGCTGCATAATATTTAACTGCAGGTCACTTTCAGTAGCTACAAATTGAGTAGGGATCCAAACTTACAGCACTGAACAAAACTCCAATATCCAAAATAATCTGTTTAATACCGGAAGTATAGCCTACAGGTTTAGCATATTTTCCATTCCTGTTTCTATACAATTATTAGTAGTGAGAATAACTTTTTCTTCCTATCTTTCTCCTTTAGATTGTAACTTCCTGAGGGTGAGAACAGTATTTTTGTTAACTTCCAATGTACAATTTATTATTAACAAATATGATATCAAAGAAACAAATTTAAAAAGCAGGGGCAAACCTCCACCACTACCCAACCTATAGATTGCATACCTCTTGCAGCGTCAGTAAAGTATTAAGAATAGCTGGTAACGTAGTCTGGACAACTCCAAATCTATCTTCTGTAAATGATGCTGCTACTAGGTGAGACAGACCTCAAGGGGAAAGAAAACAAACGTAAGAATTATACTGAATCACAATTAGGCAAATCTATTCGTAAGTAATACATTTATTTGACAAAGACTTCTGAACACAAAGAATTCCTAACAAAAAAAAAAGAGAGAGGCAATATAATAGAAAATGGGTGAAAGATCTAAATAAAACCCAAAACCTACTGCTGTTGAGTTGATTGCTACTCATATCAACTGTGTAGGGCAGAGAAGAACTGCCCCACAGGGTTTCTAAGGTTGTAATCATTATGGAAGCACAATGCTACATCCTTCACCTGCAGAGCAGTCAGTGGGTTCAAACTGCCAACTGACAAGGGACAAAGTTGTGGTCACTGTTTGGTCACAGCCAGCTACCCAGAAGGAGCAAGTAGTTGGACCTGCAGGCTCGGGACTACAGTCACAAGGGACATCAAGCTCAATCAGCATCACAAGCTACACAAAAACATTGTTTCACATCCTACTTTGGTGAGTAGCAAATGGGATCTTAAAAGCTTGCAAGCAGCCATCTAGATGCAATGATGGGTCTCTCCTCATCCAGGGCAAAGAAGAATGAATAAAACCAAAGACGTATGGAAACAATCAGCCCAAGTGACTGGTAAACCATGCGATCCTCAGCTTATATGATTATGAGACCAGAAGAACTAGATGGTGCCTGGCTATCACTGTCAACCACTCAGAGGTGAATCTATGTAGGAGATCCTGGATAGAATTGGAGAACAATGTGGAACAAAACTCAAAATCATTTAAAAAAAAAGGGGAGAGGGGACAAGGTTTGCTGGTCTGATAGAGCCTGATGGGATCACTGAGACTATGGCCCCTAGTTGCCCTTCAGGTCTGGAATTGGCTTCTAGCCAAACAAAAGACAGGCATATGAGTTGAACATTTACCTGAGGTAGATACACGCCTTGGAGAGATCAATCATGGGAAAACAGAAGAGCAGTGTATGCACAAGGAGACAGCTCAGGGAGCAGGAATGGATGGGAGGGAAGGACACAGGGATGAGGTAACTATGAGGAGGAAGTGGGAGGGGAGTTGTTGCATTATGGTAAATTGTAGTCAATGTCATAACACAAAGTGTATGTGGAAAGTGAATTTGCTCTGTAAACTTTGACCCAAATCACAATAAAAATTTAAAAAAAATAAAATAAAATAAAATAAAAACTGTGTTGGATAGTGATAAGTGGTAGGAAACAAAATAAAGCATAGTAAGGGAGTAGGGTGAAGGTGAGAATACTTTCCCAGGGTGGTCTGGAAAGGCCTCTCTGAGAAAGTACTATGTAAGCCCTAAGAAAGCACTGTCTATAAGATGAAAATAAACAGTTTTTAACAACTAAGTTTTCATGTTTAACAAAAGCTGGCAGTCAAAAAACAATCTATATTCATTGCCTTTTTTTCAAATAATGATCTAGAATGATACAGAAGACGCAGACTCAATTTCTCTGCTTATGGACAATAGCAATTTCTGCCCAAATTAAAGTACAAACAAAATTATCTGAGGAAAAAAAAAAGATCTGATAAAAATAAAGATATAAAAAATACATCTAAAATTAAGGTTGAGATCAAAGTCCAGAACTGATCTTTCATGTTTACTTCAGTGTTTAACTATAATTAAAATCATAGTTACAGTCTAATGAGTCTACAGGGCTTACCTTCTAATGCCCAAATATGCATTTGAGCATCTGAAAAAACTGCCTGAATGGAGGCCTCCGGGTGCTACAAATAAAACAGAAACACTGAGCAAACTCCTCTAGGCAAAAATTGTGTGTGTGTGTGCATGTGTTTGTGTATTTCATTTAATCAACTGTGTAAATTATAATAATCATCTCCATTGTCTTGCCTTCTAATAATTAAAATCTGAAATAAATTCACATACAATATGATTGAACTGCAAGAGGGCATTCTGCCACCAATTTATTGTATGACCTTTGCCAAGTTTCTAAATCCCTGTGACTCAGTTTCTCATTTAAAATAAGAGTTACATTTGTTTAACCCATCTCAGAACATCAGTATAGACAGAATTTAAGAGAATGGCTAAGCAAGCTTTTCTTTAAAATAAAAGAACTGCCTAAATAATTATTTTTTAAAAAAACAGGGGTCATAGAGTTGATTCTGACTCATGGGCACTCCACGTGTGTCAAAGTAGAACTGTGCTCTGTAAGGTTTTCACTGGCTGATTTTTCAGAAGTAGATCACCAGGCCTTTCTTCCGAGGTACCTCTAGTGAAATCAAACCACCAACCTTTCTCTTAGCAGCCAAGTGAATTAACTGTTTGCACCACCCAGAGTCTAAATACATATTGCCTCCCTTTAGCCCTTATCCCTACTCCAAAGAAAAACCACCCCAATTCCTTTAATAAATCAAGATTAAAAAACAGGGAGCAAAAATTGGCCCATTTAAACAAACACTGGTTTTTAATAGGCATTTAGTGAAGCCTACTGACCTCAATATCAAATACCAGTATATAGAACTCTTATCATACAATTGATCTACTTGGAAGGCGGGAGTCTGGTAGCAGAGTGCCTAAGGCACTTGACTGCTAACCAAAAGGCTGGTGGTTCAAACTCACCAGCCACTCCTCGGAAGGAAGATGGGGCAATCTACTTCTGTAGTGATATTGCCTTGGACTATGAGTCGGGACCAACTCCAGGGCATATAACAACAACTTGCAAAGTAAGAATCAAAAGTAGCTGCTCATTTCCAAGGAATGGGAGATCTTGTTCCAGGTCTGCTCAGTCACATACGTGGTGGCTGTTTGCCCTCAGGCTAGCCACTTTACCCCTCAGAGCTTCAGCTTTCCTCTCATTTGTAAAATGAGAACAACACATATCTTGCAGGATTACTATTAGAATTAGATGAGGAAACTTAAGTGAAAAAGCAGTGATAAGATACTCAGGGTGACTTTTTCTTCCAATCCATCTGAAAGAAAACACTGAAGTACAACTTTAGACACCTCTTCCTCTTTATAGAGGTCTGACACCTTTCTCAAAGCTCTAATGGATAGCCCAAGGTAGATTATGTTTTGAAGGTGGATCTTCCACAGTAGTGAAAAATCAGTTTCAAGAACTAGAAATAATTTTTTGTTACGTTTATCTATACTTCTCTCAGATCTCCAATTCACTCAGGTTTACTCAGATCTCTTTCCACACCAGAGTATGAACTCCCAAAGAATAAAAATGAGTAATGATGACAATGCAAACTTCCACTTGAAGGCATTAATGGAGTGAGTATGGTATTAGCTAATATTGAGGTATCTGCAGAAAGAGAAGCTAGGTTAAAAAACTAAATCCAAAAACTTTCCCTTACATATGGGCAAAGGTTGTGCTCATCATTGGCTAAAGGAACACACAACAGCTGTAGCCAGTGAAAACAAAGTGAATTTGTAGCTTCTGCAACTGAGATTTACTCTCCTGTGGCAGCTAGAGAAGGAGATAAACTGGAAAGTCAATTAGTCTGTGGCCCAGATTATAAGTTTTTACCCATCACAAGTTTATCACCTGCAACCTAACTCAGTCAACTCTGTTTAACACCAAATTGGCCACAAAGATGTTAGCAGAATAATGAGCCATGAAGCATCAGATAGCCACAGATGTGCTTGCAATGGAAAGATCCAGACAGCAGGAAACGGTAGAGCTGCCTATCAGCACAAAGCTGCCTGCAGTCATTAGACTCAGGAGGCCTACTGAGTCGAGTCTCAGGAAATCACTGAGGGTAGAAGTGTGTCTAAGGCAACTACTGTTAAAATGGAGTTTAGTGAAGCATTATATAAAGCTGCGTGGCTTGCTAGAATTAAGCTGTAAATATTTAGAAGTCAGATCCTATCTACTCCTTCATTTCTTACTTCCTCTCCTTCATTCCCAATGGTAGGTACTCTAGTGGTGTAGTGGTTTAGGCATTTGGCTGCCAAACAAAAGGCTGGTGGTTCAAACCCACCAGCCGCTTTGTGAAGAAAGATGGTGTAAGTCTGCTTCTGTAAAAGTTTATAGCCTTGGAAACCCAATGGGGGTTGCTATGAGTTGTAATCGATTCAATGGCAGTGAGTTTGGTTTTTTGGTATTCCAATGCTATAACTACTTATTCTTACCTTACTGAAAAAATACATTATCAGCACCCGTTTTGACAAAAAGTTCTTAATCTGAGTTGGAAAGAAGAAAAAATTAGCACAATTACAGTTTTCAATTCTATTCAAGTATAACATCACACATTTCTTAGTTCTTCCTGACATTAATTTGATAAACATAATCAAACACCCCACATCTTGCAGAGAAAAAAACAATGATATTTACAATAAATCACTTAAGTAGATACTCTGGTACTATAAATTGGATAATGAAGATGGGACATTTAACCTAAACTGCATGCCTACATACACACACGTCTATTTACCAATTAGAACCCTGTCATGGTAAGAGGAATGTAAGTGATTCCGGTGATATTTTCGTAGGCCATATTCTTTATCAGTTCTCTACAAGCTGCCCTGCCCTTTAACGTCTTAACACCCAAACAGCATGTTTCCCCTACTAAAAAAAAAAAATAATAATCTTAAGACACAAAGTGGTTTTCTACTAGTTAACAATTACAGGGGAAAAAAATTCTTAGTATCAAGCTGAAAACTATATATTCCAAATACCTGAAAGTGAATTTGCTCCCACTATACTCACACCCAAAAGCTACCTGACTAGCCAGAGGGATATAGCAAGCAGATCATATCTACTTGCTATACAAAAAGCAACACAGCAGTACTTGTGGCATATAAAGCCATTTAGGATCCTGAAGTTCGTAAACTGCCTTCTATTTTTCTTTCTCTACAATCAACTATTCCATTAGTGAACATGTTATAATTTCTACCATCTTAAAAAGTACAACCCTTTTGACTCATCTCCCCTCAGCTATCACTTCTCTGCTTCCCTCACAGAACACTCCTAGAAAGATCTGGCTCAGTTTCCTATTCTTTTCCCATTGCTCCTGAACCCACTCCAATCAGGCTTTCATCCCCAATAGCCCACCCAATAGCTCTTGCCAAGGAATCAAAGACCTCCACATTTCCAATGCACTCTTATTTTGCACCTCAGGCAACATGACACTCAGCATCTGATACACCTTCCTCCTCTGGAGACACTTCATCTTTCTCTTTTCACCTCAATGACCACTCGTCAGTCTCCTTTGCTGTTCCTCTCATCTCTGTGCTTTTAATCACTGGCAGGGAGAGGCTGTGGGTGTTTTGGATTGATTTTTTTTTTTCTGTAGCTACATTCCCCATAAGTTTTCATCTAGTGTCATGGTGTTAAATATGACAATACTCAGATATCTTCCAAATTGATGTTTCTAGCCCAGAACTTTTTCCCCCATACTCCAGATATATGTCCAATTTCTTACTCAGTATTTTCACTTGGTTAATATCAGGAAAACTCATTTCCCCACCTCACTTTTTTCAAATCTCTTCCTCCAGAATCAGCAAACTGTACCTCAATAAATCACAACTATATTATTCCAGATCCTTAGGCCAAAAACCTTAGAGTCAATGTTGACTTAGTCTCCAACAGGCCACAACCAAACCATAAGTAAATCCCGTTACCTCTACCCTCAAAATATACCTAGACCCTGATCACATTTTACAACTTTCACTACAACTACTGTGGTCAAAGATAACACCATCTCCTGCTAGCTTACTTACTGCAAAAGCCTCACCAGTGTCTCTCTGCTTTCACCCCTGCCCTCCTACATCCTATTCTCAACAAAGCAGCCAGAACAGCACTTTAAAAATATTAAATCACATCACATCACTCTTGTGGGCAAAATAATCCAGTGGCTTTCCATCTTACTTGAAAAGTCTTCACAACACCGAATGGCCCGATGTTAACACACCAAATTTTAGCTAGCTCTGACTTTTGTCACCATCTACCACTCTCCCCTCACAGTCACTCTTGCTCTAGTCACACTGGTGCCCAGCTGTTCCTCACACATGCTAAACATACTCCCATGTCAGGACTTTCACATTTTGCTATTCTCTGTCTCCCCTTCATTCTCTGATCAAGTCATGTTATCAGTGAAATCTCCCCTGATCACCGCACATAAAATGGTACTCCCTCCCCTGGATAGCCACTATCTCCCTTACCTGCTTCATGTTTTTTATATAAGATACACCAAATTCCTTTCCTTTTATAACTCTTATTTTTCATGTTTAACACCACATATGCATCATAGAGTCAATAGCATGTCACAGTTTAACTGGCAAATTTTTTTCTTAATAGTACATAAAATAAGTCTTAAAATTAATGTATTTTAATTCAAAAAAATAAAGTATAACAGATTTGCTAGCTTGTCTATTTCCCCCTCACTAGAATGTAAATATTGTATGGGCAAGGATTTTGTTTTGTCTGCTATTTTCCCGATGTCTAAAACTGCATCCCATACATAAAGAACTCAGTAAATGCTTCTTAAATAAAAGAATCCACAGAGCAAAGGCATTGTATCAAGTTAACCCAAGTGAAACTGCCATCTGTATAGCTCAAAACTAGATGAATGTTGGCAATCTCATGTTTCAACTTAATACATAAAATGTAAAAAAAATAAAATAAAATAACCACCTATTTAGTCCTGATGGCTTACTCATATGAGATCATTAATGCTTTCAGTATTACATACAAATAGAAGTCCTAGAGCCATATCAGCCTACCTGTTCACGTTTATTCTGAATCCATGAATAAATAACACTGGGCTGTCCCAATGTCTTACCCTCAGCACTAACAAAGGTAGATGGAGAAGGATTAGAAAATTCAGTCATTTGCTGATCTATTTAAAAAAAAAAAAATACATTAAGCTTAGGCTGTCTGCTCTCTGTAATTCTGACATTTCAAATTTTAGGAAGTAACAGGTCCTCACCAGATGCATAAGTCCATAATCTTGGCCCTCTTCTTATTAGTTGAGGACTCTGAGGTGACCCATAGCAGGTGTTTACATCAAAAATTCCAGCCATTCGGTTCATTACACTAGAGCCAAAAGGGGTCCCAAGAGAACCCGCAACATCAGGTATAGATAATTTTGAAGAAAACAACGATGTTTTAACTAATGGTGGCACTGAAGGTCGAGTCATCTGGATAGATTTTGGTGTCTGAAAGGTAATTTCTTCTGTAAAAGAACAGAGCCAGTGCACAGGTTCTCACATTTTATACATTTACCTAAGGTTAGTAGATTAGAAACCAAATAGGTTTAGAAACCTAAATAGGTTTACATTCCCAAAATCCACATTTGACCACTGTAATTCAACAATCATTCATATTCAGACTGAAGAGCTGATAAAAATCAAGGAGCTTTATATATCTTTTGCTGTCAGACAGGGGCAGCCTACTGTTTTTCTCCTTCCATAAATATTCTCATCTTCAAGGTAAGTTTCTCTAGGTCGGGATTGTTTTTGAATGAACTCATCAATTCACATTTTATTTTTTTTATAGCATTTTTTTTTTTTTTAATTGTGGTAAAAGCATATACACTAAGACATTCACCAACATAACAACTTCCACATTTACAGCTCAGGGACATTGATGACATTTTTCATTACTGCTATGCTTTTCCAAAATACTCCACCTCCAACAGCATCAACTCAATGCTCCACCAACAATAGCTTCCCCTTTCCCCCTCCCTCCTACCCTTATAATCATTAATAATCTTTGGGGGTGAGGTGGCGTGTGTGTGTGTGTGTGTTTATACATACATTTTTTTTTTCTCCTCACCTATCTAGCAATTCTCTCCTCTCCCCTCCCATAGCTGGTAACCAACAAAGAAAGTTTCCTTCCACATATAAACCTTTCCTTAACTTTTTTTTTCCCCTTAACTTTTTACAATAGTGAAGTAATACAGTATTTGTCCTACTTAAGGGATGTGGTCTAACAGTACAGATTCCTCAACTTGTTCTTCTACCTCTCAGTCTTCATCATTCACACTGAAGCACTACTACACTATATAAGGTTATCTTCAAACAGGAAGGGTAATGCCCTATATGTCTCTGGACACCATCTAGTGACTTTCCGTCTCTGAGATACTGCGACTAAAACAACATCCAGAATCATCTGTAAAGGTTCACCTGGCTTTGTATTGGAGTACGCTGAAGTGTATTTGATGATCAATTTTGTCAACCTTTTATCACTATCATTACACTGGACTTAATTTTTTCAATCTACAATGATAAACAAGTGTCCTCCTTAGTTCAGGACAGTATCTCCTAAGTTGTATCAATATTTCCTAATTTTATATACCTCACACTCATATGCACATCCTCAGGTTAACTTCTATCTTCTTTCTTAGGAAAAAAAAAAGTACATATTTTATCTGGGTTTTAGTACTATTAGGCATTACCTGGAGAGTTCAATTTCTTAGGTTCCACAGGGTATGATGAAGACACCATTCTCCCATTCGTAGCAGCAGCTTCTTGGTAGAGAACCAGTTTCTGAGTCATATCATTTAAAAGATTCAAACACTCCCTTGAAATTGCCGTCCAATTGTGGGGATGTCCACCTAGGAGGTCCAACACCGGCCTTTAAAATGCAGACAATCTTACATTCTCCTCTCAAAGTGGAGAGAAAAATCAACAAGAAATGCTACCCTGTACTTTGCATCAGGGCCCACGTTTCTTAGTTAAGCTACTATTCATACTCATGTCATCTCATGCACAGCAGCTCAATAAATATTTGTGGAATGAATTAATTTTCCCAAAAGTCTACAAGCAAAAACTTGCTATTTTACCATTAAAACAAACAAACAAACAGTCAAATTGATCACTAAAATAAAGCTAAACACCAGAGCACAGTTTAGATGAAGAAGACCAGGGTTACTCACTAACAGTATAAAACAGACTGAAGACTGAGACGATAAACACAAGTATGTCAAATGTGATGCAACCCATGGTCCTCAGTGACCTCTAAACTACTGTGTCTGACCCACTGTGCTTTCTTATAACAGCCTCTTTTGCTGTTACATCTGTAGAAGGGACCCATTATTTAACAAAGATCATACATTATATTTAATTCACATACTTATCGGCTACCTAATTATTTAAACTCTGTAATCCATACTCTTTAAAATTCCCTTCTCATTATTTTTTAATTTTTTAAGACTTTTGTCTCCTAGAGCTGGCACGTAGAAATCATTCAGGCTTTATCTTCTGTTAAGAACCGCAGAGTCCACAGAAAACTCGACTACCATCCTGGGTACCAGCCCCAGGACCTGTGAAGGCAGGTATTTGCACGCGAGGAGCCACCCCGTGGCGCAGGCCACAGTAAGCCAGCCCCAAGACTAGTGGAAAGTGGGTGTTTGTGTGTAAGGAGCCACCCTGGGCACAGGATGCAGTAAGCCAGCTGCAGGACCAGTGAAAGGTAGGTGTTTTCCCTGGGGGCAGGCTGGGTAAGCAAGCAGGGCAGGGCAGACCAGGAAAGGAGCAGAGCAATGTAGAACCTAGGGGAGACAACCTTCTCTGTCAGTTTGTCCTACTGTGGTGGCTTGAGTGTTGCTGTGAGGCAGGAGGCTATGCCACTGGTGTTTCAAATGCTAGCAGGGTTACATGGTGGACAGGTTTCAGCAGAGCCTCTAGACTAAGACAGACTTGGAAGAAGGAAGAGGCTATCCACTTCTCAAAGAATTGGCCTTGGCCAGTAAAAGCCTTATGAATAGTAGTGAAACATTGTGTGATACAGTGCTGGAAAATGAGCCCCTCAGGTCTAAAGGCACTCAAAATATGACTGGAGAAGAGGTGCCTCCTCAGAATAGAGCCAAACTTAGTCCTGTGCATAGAGGAAAGCTTTCAGGACCCCCATTTGCTGACATGGCACGTCACAAGAGGAGAAGAAACAGCTGCAAATACCCATTAATAATCAGAGCATGGACTGTACGAAGTATGAATCTAGGAAAACTGGAAGTTGTCAAAAATGAAATGGAACACATAAAGATCAATATCCTAGGCACTAGTGAACTGAAATGGACTGGTTTTGGGCATTTTGAATCAGATGATATGATCTACTATGCAGGGAATGACAAATTGAAGAAGAATGGCATGGAATTCATCATCACAAAGAATTTATCAAGATCTCTCCTAAAGTACAATGCTGTCAGTGATAGAATAACATCCATACACCTACAAAGAAAACCAGTTAATACTACTATTATTTAAATTTACACACCAACCACCAAAGCCAAAGATGAAGAAATTGAAGATCTTTAACAACTTCTGCAGTCTGAAATTGACCAAACATGCAATCAAGATGTGTTAATTATCATTGGTGATTGGAATGCAAAAGTTGGAAACAAAGAATCACTGGTAGTTGGAAAATATGGCCTTGGTGATAGAAATAATGCTGGAGATTGCATGATAGAATTTTGTAAGACCTACAACTTATTCATTGTAAATACTTTTCAACAACACAAATGGCGGCTATACATGTGGACATCACCAGATGGAGTACACAGGAATGAGACCGACTACATCTGTGGCAAGTAGCGATGGAGAAGCTCAGTAGCCTCAGCCAAAACAAGGCCAGGAGCTGACTGTGGAACAGACCATTAACTGCTCATATGCAAGTTCAAGCTGAAGCTGAAGACAATTAAAAGAAGTCCATGAGAGCCAAAATATGATCTTGAATATATCCCTCCTGAATTTAGAGACCATCTAAAGAAAGATCTGATACACTGAATACCAGTGACTGAAAACCAGAGCAACTGTGAGATGACATCAAGAATATCACCCATGAAGAAAGCAAGAGGTCATTAAAAAGGCAGGGAAGGAAGAAAAGACCAAAATGGATGTCAGAAGAGACTCTGAAACTTGCCCTGGAGCAAAGAGTAGCTAAAGCAAATAGGAAAATCTACAGGACAAAAGAGCTGAACAGAAAATTTCAAAGAGCAGCTCAAGAAGACAAAGTCAATTATTACAATGAAATGTGCAAAGACCTGGAGTTGGAAAACCAGAAGGGAAGAACATGCTTGGAATTTCTCAAACTGAAAGAACTGGGAAAAAAAAATTTAAGCCTTGAATTGCAATACTGAAAGATTCCATAGGCAATACGTTGAATGAGGCAGGAAACATCAAAAGAAGATGGACAGAATACACAGAGTCACTACAGCAAAAAGAATTGGTAGATGTTCATCCATTTCAGGAGGTGGCATATGATCAGGAACCAATGGTATTGAAGGAAGAAGTCGAAGCTGCACTGAAGGAATTGGCAAAAAACAAGGTGCCAGGAATTGACAGAATACCCATCGAGATGTTTCAACAAATGGATGCTGCACTGGAGACACTCATTCGGCTATGCCAAGAGATTTGGAAGATAGCTACCTGGCCAACTGACTGCAAGAGATTCATATTTGTACCCATTCCAAAGAAAGGTGATCCCACAGAATGTGGAAATTATCGAACAATATCATTGACATCACATGCAAGTAAAATCTTGCTGAAGATAATTCAAAAATGGTTGTGGCAGTATATTGACAGAGAACTTCCAGAAATGCAAGTTGGATTCAGATGGGGACATGGAGCGTGGAATATCATAGCTAACATCAGATGAATTTTGGCTCAAAGTGACGAATACCAGAAAGATGTTTATTTGTGTTTTATTGACTATGCGACTATGTGGATCATAACAAAATTATGGATAACATTGAGAAGAATGGAAATTCCAGAATACTTAATTGTACTCATGAGGAACCTGTAAATAGACCAGGAGGCTGTCGTTCAAACAGAACAAGGGGATACTGCATGGTTTAAAATCATGAAGGGAGTATGTCAGGGCTGTATCCTTTCATCATACTTACTCAATCTGTATGCTAAACAACTAATCTGAGAAGCGGGACTATAGGAAGAAGAATCAGGATTAGGGGAAGGCTCATCAAGAAACCGAGATTCGCAGACGACACAATTTTGCTTCCTGAAAGTGAGGATGACCTGGAGCACTTACTGATGAAAACTAAAGACTACAGTCTGCAGTATGGATTACACCTCAATATAAAGAAAACAAAAATCCTCACAACTGGTCCAATAAACAGCTTCACAACAGATGGAGAAAAGCTGTCAAAGACAATCAACATCAATGGAAGCAGCAGTCAAGACATCAGACGACGTATTGCATTGGGCAAATCTGCTGCAAAAGACATCTTTCAAGTGCTAAAGAGCAAAGATGTCGTCTCCTTGAAGACTAAGGTGCACCTGACACAGCCATGGTATTTTCAATTGCTTATATGCATGTGAGAGCTGGACAATGAATAAGGAAGACCAAAGAAGAGTTGATGCTTTTGAGTTGTGGTGTTGGCGAAGAATGCTGAAAGTACTGTGGACTGCTAAAAGAACTAACAAATCTGTCCTGGAGGAAATATAGCCAGAATGCTCCTTGGAAGCAAGAATGGCCAGACTTCATCTCACCTACTTTGGTCATGTTGTCAGAAGAGACCATTCTCTGGAGAAGGATGTCATGCAACGAAAGAGGGGAAGGCCCTCGACAAGATGGATTGACACGGTGGCTGCAGTAATAGGCTCAGGTATAGTAGGGACTGTGAGGCTGGCACAGGACCAAGCAGTGTTTTGTTCTGCTGTACACAGGGTCACTATGAGTTGCAGATGACTTGACGGCACCTAATAGCAACAACATCCTGGGTACTAATCAATCATTTTCTCTCCACGTAGATCCCTTCTTAAACATGTCCCCTATTTACAACTCATGATGAGTACCATTTAACAAGAATGAAAAGCCCCAGGATGCTGTGCACTACTGTAACTAAAAACCAATATGGAACTATGTAATAGTCCAGTTATATTATAATAGTATCCCAGAATGCAAGTTCTCTGGCAGACAGTATGTCACCCTGTTACAGTTTACTTGAATAAAGAATTCCTAAGTAATTTCTATGTCTGATAGAAAAATCTTGCTACAGTTTGTTTTTCCATGGCAGCAGCTATGTATTTTCATGCTAACTAAAAGTGGCTCCAATCATTTATACTTTTATGTATTTTTTTTCACGTATGTAATATTTAACTACTGGTGATTTATCATACAATTTGAAAATTGAAAAGTTTGGCAAAACAATGTAAAGAGCTGAAAAGCTACTCAATGTCTTTGTTCCTCACTGGTGGCTAGGACTGTATCCTCTAGGAACAGGGCAGACACCTGGCATAGCTGCAGTCTTGAAGAGCTTGGTAAACAAGAATGGAGAAGTGTTTCAGAGCTGCAAGAGCATACTTGGGTCATGGTCACTGTCAACTCTACTTCTTTCCTACTTTTTTTAAAAAGGAAGCAAAGTAACACAGCAGGGGAAGGGAGCTCTCCACTTGGGGTCAAAAATAACTTAATCTCTGTCAGAGAAAGCAAACATGGGTATATGGACGGATAGATAGGTGAACAAGCCAAACAATTAGGTATGTGTATCCAAGATCATATATAGGGTTGGCAGATAAAGGGCCTATCAGTTCATGTGAATGATCAGAATTCCCAGGTGTACACTAGAGCTGTGCCTCAATTTTCTCATCTGTGGAATGG